AGAACATGGTTCATAGATGATCCTTGCCAAAAATTAGACAAATCCAAAGCCATTATTTGTAGTGAAAAAAATGGACGAATACGGTTCTACAAAGAAACCCTAAACCTTTACTCCTTAAGGTTCTGTAGTTTCAAATTTGAGTGATTTTTGGTAAACATAATCTTTGATTTTTGGTAAACATGATCTTTGAGGAAAGACCTAAAAAATAAACCATTCGAATCTTTGAAATAAGTGAGTTTCATACTTTTGATCGGCATGACATGTAGCTTTTGTGGGATTATGTCCGAAGAAAGATTTGACATAATGATATATATGAGGATGCTCTCATTAGTTTGTAGGTTAAATCAGTGAGAATGCATACGTCCACCGTACAGCCAAAAATCGACCGTCTTGTCCTTGTATTTACGGAGGAAAGAAAACTGAGATAAATCGTTCATCGTTCAACAAATTCTGATGAAACAAAGGTGCCACTAACTTGTCCTAAATTTAGCAGTGTCCCATGCATGCAAGATTCATCAGGGTTCTTTTAGAAATTAGAATTGATGCTTGATAAGTTGAGGTTGATTATGTAATCCGTAGTGACTTTGTTTTTCTGAACTTTACATCATTATTGCGTGATCACAATCCACTTGCTCGGGCTTACCATATTTGAGTGATCAGCTTTGCCCTTTTCTTCTCTATTCTGCTCATTTTAAGTCATGCCCTTTTCCCAATGTGCATCGAGTTTTCCGCATGCTTTTACTTTTAGGAGAATTCCCTTGAATTTTTGCATACAATTTCGGGCTCTTACTTTGATCAGGTCATTTCGGAACATTTTCGTGGGAGAAGCGTATTACAGTCTTAGCAAATTTGTTTTTATGGTAAATGGACATATATCGGGTATAGGGTGCGAGAGCTCAAAGTCACCTGCCTGCATTGTGTTCGTTCATGCGATGTTAAAGCTTAGTTTTGAATCTTGTCAGAAGTGTTTCTAATGTATCAGGAATAGGGATGAGCAATGGTTATGCGAGCGGGTAACTGCGGTTAATTTATCCATAATCGTTTATGCTCATACCCGCATAACCGTTTACCTGTTGGGTAATTGTCTAAACGGTTATACCCATACCCATAACCGTTTATAAACGGTTAACCATACTTATTTAACTGTAACCGTTTAATACCCGTTTACCCATTTATCATTTTTAATCCATTTATCTTCATTTTTTTACCATTACCCTTTTTTCACCCGTCTACATGTTTTTTAACAACTTGAAAATTAAAAAAAATTGTCATAATTTTTTTTTGGACAATTAAACACCGTTATAGGTACATTCATCATACATTTCCATATTTTAATTTTTTAAGTCCTTATACCATTCCAATAATTAAAATAATAGTTTACAGACGATATTTTTAACTGTTACCAATGAAGGTAAATATAATATTTGCTAAGTATTATTGGGTTACAAAAATTGTTTAGTAGACATTTCTGTCAAAGCATTTCTGTCAAAGCATTTTTGTCAATTTCATGGTTACCCGCAAGGAGTTTAAATTAATTTGGCCAATTCCTTGATGATGAGAATCATAATTCTTGTAGTAGTGTTATTGAGAGAAGAACCGATGAATTCCTTGCTAATTTATTGGATGCTAAGTATTATTGGATCGAGAACATGGTTTGTGTTAGTTTTATATATATATAATAAATGGGTAAACGGTTACCTATTTATAACCGTGGTTAATACCCATAACCGTCTATTTAAATTTTGCAGGTAAACGGTTATACTCATAACCGTTTATTTATCTAAACGGTTACCCATAACCGTAACCGTTTAATTTAAATGGGCGGGTAACCGCGGTTACCCATAACCAATGAGTATTTGCCCATTCCTAATCAGGAACCTATGTTGTTAGCCTTTTCTGTTTTCATTGGTGTTGGAACATGGATGCCGGGGATCAAAGTCCCTAGTTATTTCATTTCTTTGCAAATTGTTATGCAGTATATGATAAACACATTGTGCCCTGTACATAATTTCACTCAGAAGGATGAACAATACAGTTACGATCTTATGACGACAGCAGACTCTGTAGTGAAGGTGCTTTAAATTTTATTCAACTTCTTACCCCTCGATTCTTTGTTTCCAGCTTTGTTTGTCTGTTGGATTTGTAATTCATCTAGTTTTGTAGAGTGCTGTTGGTGTGCAATTGTTCTTTATCCTTGTTGCTAATTTCGACAGAACATGACCGTAATGTTGTGATTCAGTCTTTGTCCGAGGAGCTGGATAATTTGATTCCGTACGATTAGTTGTACATAGGTTAAATATTTTTAATGGTAATTCCTGTTCGTTTAGCTTGATTAGAATCCCTAATAGGGTTTTGTGGAGGGTGTGGAACAAATGTTTTGATATTAAAAGACGCCTTTAGTTTCTCTGTCATAAAAATTGGTGTAGTGTGGTTATGGAAAGCTCGATTAGCATTGGTTTACATGTATTCAAGTCATTTTGACGAAGTAGAGAGGACTAAAACGATACCTCCAATGAAGACATGGATGGGGAGGCTAATGTACAAGAAAGACACGGTCGAGATGTAACTGTTTGAAGACGTGGATGGAAAAACTATTAGCATTCTCAAAATGTAACTGTTTGAAATCTTATTTTTTTTTCATGTTTATATACGGCTTAGTGATACGAATATCGTGAATACTAAGTTCAATTGTCTTTATAAATTTGAAGCATAAAAATGACCTTTTGGAGTCCCAATAACTCCCATTGAAAAGTTTATATACTTTTAGTAATAATTCTAAATACTTAAATTTCTTTTTTTTTTAATTTTGATAAATCAAAAGAGATTTTACTAAAGGGGTGATTTGGGATAACTCACAAAATAGTATATATAACCAAACAATATAAAAGTAAACTCAAAATTCAATTAGTGGAGTTGTATGTCTATAGCAACAAAATAAGAAAGAAAAATAGCACATAATCCTAAAAAGCTTCCGGTGATGGTGTAAGCAACACAATATTTTTAGAGGTATTCATCAATTCCTCCTTGAACTTGTGATCATTGGCCAATTTCCCCCCTCAACTTTAATTTTGGCCAATTGCCCCCTCAACTCTCATAATTAGTCAATTGCCCCCCTCAACTTTAATTTGGCCAATTTCCCCCCTCAACTCTCATAATTAGTCAATTTGCACCCTACTATTAATTTTTTTTTAATTTTCCATTTATTCTTTTTTTTTTCTTTCAATTTTTCTAATAACTTCCAACAAAGTATTAAAATTAACATAAACTCACCTGCATAATATAGGGTAAAATGTACAAAAACATAATACAATTAGTATGTGATATGGGTTGATTATAAGAAAAAGTTATGAATTGGGTTTAAAGCATGTAGAAGAAGAAATAATAATCCTAAACTCATGGATCAGACATATTTCAATAAAATGGGTTATTCTTAATAAGGAGTCGAAAATTATGAATTGACTAGCCATTTTTGCACTAAAACTCGATTCTCCACAATTTACTTGAACTTAGCTTTCACTTTTATAAAGAAAATTGTATTCACATACAAAAATGTACACATCAATCATTTTCGTTATCAATTTTGTATAGTAAAAAATCAAATAAAATTACTCCATACTGATTTATTATGACTAATAATACTATCTATGATAAATTGTAAAATTCTAAATTTTAAACTATTTGTAATAGGATAAAGACATAGGAAAATGATTAACATACATCTTATTTAGTTTCTTACACACACTTGTTTAATTATGATCAAATTAAAAAATTAACAATAGGGTGTAAATTGACTAATTATGAGAGTTGAGGGGGAAATTGGCCAAATTAAAGTTGAGGGGGGAAATTGACTAATTATGAGAGTTGAGGGGGAAATTGGCAAAAATTAAAGTTGAGGGGGGAAATTGGCCAATAGTCACAAGTTCAGGGGGGAAATTGATGAATACCTCATATTTTTAGGGATGTGCTATCCACACACATTTTTTTATTTCCACACACCCTCTTAATTTGCGACCATCGAACTAAATGAATTGAAGATCAAATGACATAAATTAATAAGGAATGTGTGAGAAGTAAAAAGGCGTTCGTGGATAGCACACCCCTATTTTTACAACTGCAAAGTTGGCAGGTTTTTAGCTGTTCTTTACAAAGGCCATAAGACTATCTCCAACCCTGACCTAAAAGTTAAAATTTACCATTTCCCCCCCCCCCAAATCCACTCCAACCCATGACTTAAAATAAACCTAAAACCTAAAACCCAAATGAATGTCAAATTCTGGCCCAATTTTAGGCCACAAAGTAAAATGGGCTCCACCAACTGAGAGTGAAACCAGGGCTGTGTTGCCCACTTCCCATCCTCCACCCGCCAACGCGCCACACGCGCCTGGCATATTGTTGAAAGCAGACAGCCCCATGTGGGGGTGTTCCCTGCTGTTAGAAAACAAAAGCAGCCCAACGGCTACTTTTGGTGATCCAACGGTTGTGTTTAATGGGCTGTTGGTTAATCCAACGGCCCAGGTTCAAATTATTTTTTTTTGTTCTATATTTATATATTTATTGAATCCAACGGTTTAAATCGAATATAATCAAATCTAACGGTAAAAAAAAAAAGATCTAACGGTCCAAATTTAAATCCAACGGCTAAAATAATTTTTAAAAATTATTTAACTTAAAATTCAACCAAAAACTCTATACATACCTATCTATTTGTTCAAACATCCACACAAAACTCACTTTTCTCCTACAATTCTTCCAATTTTTCTTTCTACCATTTCTTTTCATTTCCAAAATTTTCAAGATGGCAAAAGAGCATGTTAGAGGTCATAATTGGACCTTTGACGAAGATATTGCTTTATGTTTGGCATGGATTTCTGTTAGTTAAGATGGTGCCGTCGGCACCAATCAAAATAGAAAGGATTTGTGGGGTAAAATCGTTGATAAGTTCCGTGAAAACTCCAACGCCGGTCGAAGGGAAGCTAGTGGTGTTTATGATCGTGGAAGATTATCAACAAAGCGTGCACTTTGTGGAAGGGAAGCTTGGAGAGAGCCATGGTTGACATGCCTAGTGGAAGGGGCGTCTCAGAAATTGTGAGTTTCTTTGTTGATATTTTTGTTGTCATGTACATAATAGTATTTTGCAACTAATTGTTTTTATGTATTTGTTGCATAGGGTGACAAAGCAATGACAATTTACAAGACAAGAACTATACCAAAAAATCAAGCTTTTAAGTTGCATCATGCTTGGAACATCCTCAAGGATTGTCCGAGGTGGGGAATCGATGCGAATCAACAATGTGGAAGATTATTTCATAATGAAGCCCCACCTCCAAATGATGTCAATGAAGGTGTGAATTTTGCCGACAATGAAGGTGTCAACCAAATGAGCCCAACTTCTTCTTTGCCAAGGCCTTCGGGTAGAGATAAGCAAAAGGAAGCAAAGAGAAAAGGGAAGTCCCAAGATCCGATACGTGAACAATTTGCTAGCGAAATGGCAAGAATGAACGAAAACCAGTGTCGTCGGCAGGAAGAATCGGCCCAAATGTTTTTGGCCATGAAGCAAGAAGGGGATAGGGAGCAAGAAAGGTACGAAACTAATTTGATAATGGCGGACCTCGACAAATACACTCTAGAGAGGAAGAGATACTTACGTGGTAAGCAAAAATAAATTTTACGAAGGAATGCCACAAGGAGTATATTTCAAGATGATGATTCATCGCAAGACTATCACCCAAGTCCACTACCAAGTCAAGATGGTGGATATCATTATTAAGTTTATGTAGTCTATGACTTTTCGATTGTATTAAGTTTATGTAGTTTATTAATTGTCTTTTTTTTTTTAAGTTTATGTGGTTTATCATGATTTTCATGTATTGATTTAGTGATTTTTTAAAATTTATCGGAATTTAAATATTTTTAGGTTAAAATGTTCATATAATTAATTTAGGATAGTCTACATAATTGTTTTTTTTTTAAAAAGTTAATTAAAAAAAAAAGCCTTCATTCATTTTTTGATAATCTGGGGCTAAAATTTTAGGCCAAAAGGGTTGGAGTAGAAAAACTGTTTCTGGGCTAAAACCTAAATTTTGTGGGCTAAATATTTTTAGGTTTTAGGTCATGATTGGAGATGGTCTAACATCTGTCGTGTACGGCTTTGGAATCTCTTGTCTTGTGATGACTTTATACACACCAAAATCATGCGGTCCATAAGGCCCGACATCAAAGATCGTACGATCAGCATCGTGATTGTAGTATGTACAATTTGCTTGACACCCTGGAAACTTTGAAGCCAACACACATATTGAAGAATTGTCACCCAAAAAAAGTGCCACAGCATGTAAGGCGTCCATCGCAATCCACTTACGCTTACCGTAATTCAATTCGAAAATTTTAAATTCCATCGTCTCGCGCTCTGGACCAAGAGACATAATTTTGGACAAGATGGACGCAATGGTGAAGCCACGTGAGGGCGAGGAGTGGCGGCCGCCACTCCCCTCGCCGAAAATGAAGCCCAGGAGTGAGTGCCCGCCCCTCCTCTCGCTGGAAATGAAGCCATGTTGTTTGCTGCAGCTACACAAACTTTGCACGCGCAGTGGCCGGAAGCTGTTAAGGCGCAGGGAGAGGTCCGCCCTCCTCTCACCGGAAAACATGCCCAGAAATCATGGTTTGCTGCCCCATCGCCCCTCTGGTTTTGCCGGATTGTAGCTCACAATTGCCGCAACTGCAGCAGTTCTCCATAGCTGCGCAGGGAAGGGAAAACTTCTTTTATTTTTTTCCTTAAAAAAAAATCTAGGATGAAACGACATCGTTTCGATCCTGGAAAAGTAAGTGAAATGGTGTGTTTGGGCAATTGGGCTTAATTTGAAAAAAAAAATTTAAATATGATGGGAGGACCACTTGTCCCCCATTACCTCTCGGCTTCCTCCCCGTCCCTAATTCCCAACCTAACAAATAAGATTTCCCAGCATCAAACCCGCGCCTTTCCATTTGGCCCCTTCTTAACTAGTATGTTGCTTTTGTTGTTTAATTTTTCGTTGGGATTTAATTGCTATTATTTAAATTCAATTTGTGCTAATGGCCATTGAGTAATTTCCGGGATTGTTCATTGATTTTGATGATTAGGTGGTGATTTTGGTGTGATTTATGTGATTATTTATGTGGGTCTGTAGATTTAAATGTGTTCTGTATTTGCAATGAATCCATCTGCATTCTCCACTTGATCCTTGGAATTTAGAAAGTTTGGTCCTTTTATTATGCTGTTGTGATTTTCGAAGTCTTATTTTCTTGGATACCATTTGATCAGTTGGAGGTAACTAGGAGCACCATTTTGTAAATGTAGTATGTGCTATAACAGCTTATGATTTAGTCTCTGGGTTTGTAGGTTGTGTTAAAACTTGAAGCAATTTTGACAGACCTAGTGGCAATGGAATGGTACAATAAGAAACAGTGCATAAATCCCCCTCCAAACAATGTAAATATTGTTTAATGCTTATTTTATGATAATTTAAATCCATCTAAACCTAGCCAATTGAAGCTTCTTACATTGGCTTTTATATGATTGCTTACAACCATTTTGGTGAATAGACTATTTTCTGCTATGAATATTGACTCAAAACTTTGCACTCTCCAATGTGAAAGCAACTGCTTCGACTAAACCTTGCACTATTTTGAATTTCGCCCCTCCCCTTGGCAAATCCTGGCTTCGCCACTGGATGGACGTGACCCTTTACAGCGCTTAAATCGTGCTGCTTTCCAGGAAACTGAAAGGTATTCGGGTAATGACTGCTTTTCTTTCTGCAAATATACAATGATTTTTTCATTTTTGCACCTTATATGTCTTCATGCTCGGGAACCAATTTAAGTTGTACGACCCCGAATGTACCAATTTAAGTTGTCTGTAGGTGTGTTGCTTATATTTATAGTGTTACAATCACAATAAAAAAAATTACTCATGTTTCATGTTTATATTTGAACAAAAATCTACTAAACATTATGTCATAGTAAGGAGCAATTTCTTTGTCATGTTCACATATACTAACAATTATATGTGAACAAAAATCTACAAAATCAAACAGTTGGGTTGATAGACTAATAACAAATCAAGCCAAATCGTTTGAGAGAGTGGAACATATTCCTTGTACATTATACCATGGTCAGTACCTTTTAGCCTAATTATATACTACATCAATCTTGATTTGATGCAAATTTGCTCTATTAATCACAAGTGCTAATCAAGACACTGTCAGAAAATCTCTCTGCCAATTGCTAGTGGCAATAGGACTAATGATCATAATCTTTCTAGAAATTAGTAAGGACAAATTGGGAACGGACTTGGATTGTCTGCCCTCCTAGTTGTGGTGCCCTTCCATGCCCTCCTATTTTGTGCGGTCACGGTTAAGCCACGTTAATATTTTATATTTTTATTATTTTTTGTCTTATTATCTTATTAAAAAATTAATATAAAATATTGACGTGACTTAACCGTGACCGCACAAAATAGGAGGGCATGGAAGGGCACCATAACTAAGAGGGCAGACAATCCAAGTCCATTGGGAACCATACAATCAATCTCCATGTGTCAGTAGTACAGATCCAATAGCCTGCATGTGAATGTATGATCATGACTCATGAGTCTTCCTCAGTTAAACTAGTTCGAATGAATTGTAGAACTCATCATTCGATCTAAATTTAATCCCTAGTATTTTCAATCACAGCCAGAATGCTATCATAGGATTTAGGGAGGCTAATCAATAACTTTTGCACAATTCTTTGATTTCCTACATCTTCACCATAGCTCTTCATTTGTGTAAAAAGATCAAGTAATT